TTCATCTCACACATTTTCTCCTACATAGATACAGTATCATAATCTGCTTTAGAGAAAGAGGATCACGTTCGCCAGCATTTTTTATAATCAGCAGGGGCATCATGCATTGGCTTGTTGTCTTGTGCTCTTTGGACACATTTCCATATAATATACTCCCCACCCCACCAGTTCAGCAATTCACTGCATATTTCAGGAAACAATGTGGGGCAAAGTTGTAATTTTTGCCTGTCTCTTTGCTTCGGGTCATTTCTGCCAAGAAAACTTTGTACTCAAAAGGCCGTGAGGGAAGGACCATGTTTATATAGTTGTTTTTTTTTAAAGATTCCATGTATTTATATACCACTTTCAATCAGAAAGACTGCAAACAGGAAAAAGAAAGTCAAAGCACCTATTTCAGTAATAAATAGCCTCATATGATACACTAAACCAAACCTTGGCTTAGTGAGGACACACAAATGGGCGTCCCAAAGAGGACTTGCAGCCACTTTGCTTCTCCATGTCTTTTTTTTTTTTTTTTTTTTTGCTTCTGGACCATTGATTTAGCTTAGCATGAGAGATGACACAGAATGACAACACCTGTGAGCTTCTTCCCACCATCCTTGCCCACATCCTATTAGCTATGTGGTTGGGATCATGTGAGGGACGCAGGTGGTGCTGTGGGTTAAACCACAGAGCCTAGGACTTGCCGATCAGAAAGTCGGCGATTCGAATCCCCACAACAGGGTGAGCTCCCGTTGCTCAGTCCCTGCTCGTGCCAACCTAACAATTCAAAAGCACGTCAAAGTGCAAGTAGATAAATAGGTACCGCTCCGGTGGGAAGGTAAATGGCCTTTCCGTGCGCTGCTCTGGTTTGCCAGAAGCGGCTTAGTCATGCTGGCCACATGACCCGGAAGCTGTGCGCTGGCTCCCTCGGCCAATAAAGCGAGATGAGCACTGCAACCCCAGAGTCAGCCATGACTGGACCTAATGGTCTGGGGTACCTTTACCTTTAGGGATCATGTGACTGAGTTCCATGGTTGCCTGAGTTCTGTGATCATACACACTTTTCCTTACAAGCAACAATAGTTAAGATCTTTCATAAACTGCCTTTCTCCCCCTTCTTGTCCCTACTTCTGTGTCCTGGGTTGTGTTTCCTCCCCTCCCCAACCCTTTGGTTCATGGACCAAGCACTTAAGTGTCAAATGTTTCAAGTGACCTCATCCGTTCTTTGACAATTCCACACCCTGCTTTTCATTTCTCACCTCCAAATATTCAATGATATTTATTATATTTCTAATATTTTCTTTCATTTGGTGGCCTTCTCCCCTTTTAGGAATTAATCCAGCTTCCATTCGGGGCACGGACACAGGAGTGTGGATTGGTGTGAGTGGGTCAGAAGCTGGTGAAGCGTTTAGCGTAGACCCTGAACAGTTGCTGGGGTACAGTATGACTGGCTGTCAACGTGCTATGTTTGCCAACAGAATTTCATATTTCTTTGATTTCAAAGGTAAGTTTGCATCTACGGAGGGCCAATGGACTGATTATCTCATGGCAGGGCAGATGTTTGGTCAGATAGGGGAAGATGCAGGAAAGTTTGTGATGTAGGTGAACAGGATCCATAACAGTGCTGCAGAAGTCTTTAGTACAAAGAGTGTATATTCTTAATGGCTGTTTTGCAAATTCTGATGGGTGAATTACTATGGCATTGTTGAGAATCACAGCACTTGACAAATGAATTGAAACTCTTTATGAGTAGGCATGTGGGGGTCAAACCAGGGCTGGAATTAATGTGCCACCATAGTTAACTTTCCTCTCTGTAAACAGAAGCCTCTCCTGTTATCACATCTTAAAGGCTTTGTTCCCCAAGAGAACAAAAACTATGGCCTTAAGAAAGCCGAAAAGGCAAAACAACTTATGGTGGCTTGTTGTCTTCTTTCTTTCATGGTTTTCGTTCCCAAAGGACCAAGTATGTCCATCGACACAGCGTGTTCCTCTGGCCTCGTTGCTCTGGACAATGCTTACAAAGCAATCCGCAGTGGACAATGCGACTCAGCCCTTGTAGGCGGAGTCAATCTCGTACTGAAGCCCAACACTTCTGTGCAGTTCATGAAGCTTGGCATGCTTAGTCCTGAGGGTGCCTGCAAATCCTTTGATGCTTCAGGTAAGGGGTTTGTTTTCATATTCGGCCATGTTTTGGAAGCAGTCAGCAGCACTCCCATTTTTGAGGGAGTGTAAATCTTGGTCTTCTCTTGGTAAATTAAGAAGTCCCAGCTCTTTTCAGGATAACAAATATCGGAACTGACAACAGCAGTGTTCAGTTGCATGGCTTGTTCTCCTCCAGTAGCTAAACCGTTTGGTTTTCGCTTTCTTCATTCTCTGTTTTTATAAGCTTTCTGTTTAACTGGTCTTCAGAAAAGACAGAGAAGGCATCACTGTTCTTTCAAGGCTATTCTGCAATAATGAATTGCTTTTAATTGCTTTGTTTTGTCTAAGATCTTCTTTGTGGGTCGTAGACAAACCAAGCTTGAACCGAACCAAGCAGGCATGGAAGGCAGCTTGTTCTCAAAGTACAGGAGTATTTTAGAATAATAGTCTGTTCTTTTCCCAAAAGATTGGCTCTTTAATAAGAAACTAGGGAGATATAAATAAATAACTTCTGGGAAGCTTAGAGGGTGATGTCATACAAAACACAGCAAAATGGAACCAAATTATGAATACATAATACTAGGCAGGTCTGAGAGGAAATAAGGAAATGTGAGGTAACCTCAACCTTGTTCTTTTTCCTTTTCAAATGAAAGTATCTTCAAAGTTATGTACCATTGGTATCTTGCACTAGTTTGAACGTTGCAGTTAAGTAAAACAGGTTCTTCGCTATCTGTGTGTGGGAAGACTTTTAACTAGCTAGAAAATTATAAATACACACATGGGCTTTTTTTTAACTGACTAGCTGGGGAAGATCTTATCTATAACTTAATTGGATGATAAAGGTAAAGGGACCCATGACCATAAGGTCCAGTCGTGGCCGACTCTGGGGTTGCAGCGCTCATCTTGCTTTATTGGCCGAGGGAGCCGGCGTACAGCTTCCGGGTCATGTGGCCAGCATGACTAAGCTGCTTCTGGCGAACCAGAGCAGTGCATGGAAACGCCGTTAACCTTCCCGCCGGAGTGGTACCTATTTATCTACTTGCACTTTGACGTGCTTTTGAACTGCTAGGTTGGCAGGAGCCGAGACCAAGCAACGGGAGCTCACCCCATCGTGGGGATTCGAACCGCTGACCTTCTGATCAGCAAGCCCTAGGCTCTGTGGTTTAACACCTGCGATACTTTCTCTAAATCATTTAATCTGCTTGTTAGAATACTTCAGGGGCAAATACCTCAAATCCACATAAAATTAATAAACAATACTGGAATAAATATATCACTAGCTATCTATATGAATAACAGAAGTACAGTTACTTTAGAAGAACTACTAGGAAAAGTATGAGACACAGACAGACTGTTAAAACTACCACATTTTATATAGCAATGATTTGTTTAATTTGTTTTCTTCTGCTAACCTTATTGATTCAAGTAGTTCAAGCGCTCAAATTTATCTGAACAGAGCATTATAATGAGATGTAATCAGTAAAGCTATTACGAGCCTTATAAATAGTTCTCACAGGAGTTTGTAAAATATTAAGTGGTTTTTAAATACCTTGAAATGAAATACTTAAAAACTAAACAAACAAGATATAGGACTTCCTTCCTTCCGCTTCTTCTCTGGGCACTTCCAGTTTGTCGTCATTTTCAGGTGGAATTCAGTCACATACTGGCTAATTCAGGTTGCACAATTATATTGCACAACCTGCTTCCCCAAAAGATCAGATTTTGTATGATAAAGAAAGTGTTCTGGAAAGTGGGGAATAACAACACTTACTTTGATGCAACGTCATCTAACTTCCACACGGTCAAATAGGAGTGAGTTCTTATCAAATAGGCAACACTGTCTGATCTCCCTGCAAACAAATCAGGATAAACGCATGTGCCTTGTGTAACTCTACTATATTCTGTGAACCGCCCTGAGATCTCATGATGAAGGGTGCTATATAAATCTAATAAAATAAAATAAAATCTGCTTTGTCTTGATGCCTTTTCGCAAAATAAGTAGGTTGAGAGGTATTTGAGTGCCCAGCCATTTTAAATATGAATAAGGGCTATTTGATGCTACCTTTTGCATTTCGCTTGCTCAGCACCCTTGAGAAAGTATGGCTAGAAACCCAACTATCTAAAGCGGATTACATGTGGGGTGGTGATGGTGCTTCTCATTGCTCTGGATTTCTGCAGGGAATGGATACTGCCGATCAGAAGCTGCTGTAGTTGTTTTCCTGACCAAGAAGTCCCTAGCCAAACGGGTTTACGCTACCATAGTCAATGCTGGGTGTAATACCGATGGATTTAAGGAGCAAGGTAAGATTTGTTTAAAATTAATATCTGGAGCTTGCGACATTCTAAGATGCATCCTGGTAGATGATGGAATGTAACCCAGTGGAGTTGGGTGAGGAATAGTCTCACCTTGTTCAGTTTGGGTGTTAACTGTTCTTTGCGGTTAGGAACATAGGAAGCTGGCTTATACAAAGTCAGACCATTGGTCCATGTAGCTCAGTACTGTCAACACTGGCCAGCAGCAGCTATCTAGGGTTTCAGAAAGGGGTTTTCCCTAGAGATGCCAGGAATTGCATGCGCTCTGCCACACAGTTCTTGCCCTTCTCTAGGATCTGATGGTGCATCATGGTACTTATCTCCTCTTCCCCCTCCCCAACAAGCCGTTTTCCATTTTAAAAAAAAAAACCCCAACAACATCCTTTTTGAGAAGCAACAACAAAAGTTTGTGCAACTGCCCGGATATTCAGCTAAAAATATGGAAGGCTAGATAGCGTGCCTGAAGTGTGGAGGGAAGGGCAAGGCTGAAGGCTGAGCAGCGTTCAGTTTGCTGGCACGCATATCTGTCCATTTCCTTGGGAAAGCCGGTCTTACTATGTGGCCAAGGCACATGCTGTGAGCTCACTTATAATACGTCCCTCTTCATCCCATGTGGGCTTCTGTAGCAGAGTGCTTCAGTTTAGACCAGTGTTTCCCAACCTTGGGCCTCCAGCTGTTTTTGAACTACAATTCCCATCATCCCTGACCACTGGTCTTGCTAGCTAGGGATGATGGGAGTTGTAGTCCAAAAACAGCTGGAGGCCCAAGGTTGGGAAACACTGGTTTAGACCCAAGCAATCCATTAAAGAGACAGCGTCTCTGACTTAAAGCTGAATGAATCCATATCCTTTGTTGTGAAAAACGAAGGTGCGTCCCAGTGACTGGGTCTGCCTTTCCTTAGATTTTGGAATGTGGTATAGTCATGTGTCATCTAGGGAGCACATGGAAAGCACAGCTCTCTTGGGTGTTGGCGGTGATGGGGTGGGGAAGGTGCTTCTGAAAGTAGCCTTTGCAATTTACAGTGTTGGATGCTCAATGTGAAATTTGTGGCATCCTCCTCAAAATACATAGCAGCTAGGTGGTGCTTTGTTCAAAGCACCTTAGGAGAGCCTTATTCCCTGATCGAACTGAAAAACCTCCTGAATCAAAGCTCACAGACAAGAGCAGTTTGCTGAGTGGGGTTCAGCCGCTAGATTGGACAGGCATAAGCCTGTTGTGTCCTCCTGATGCCCTGCTTCGCAAGTCTGGGATGTGGGATCAGATTTGCAAAGCAGCATGGGACTGGCAAGGGGTGGTTTGAGAAGCAAAACATGCCCTTGAAAAAACTGTGCCTGGTGAAATGGTCTTCCTCGCCCTGCCCACTAGGCCTCTGACCACTTCATTCAGCACATGCTGCACTTAGAGGCAAATTCTGCCAAAGCAAGATTTAGTTTACAACATATGGATAATTTCCTTGTATGAACTCAGGAATTGACCATTCTTTTTGCTTCAGGTGTAACGTTCCCCTCTGGATGGATGCAGCAGCAGTTGGTCAGTTCCCTGTACAGGGAGTCTGGGGTTAAGCCTGAGGAAGTGGAATACATAGAAGCTCATGGCACAGGCACCAAGGTTTGCCCTCTCTCCATGTCCCCTGTTCTCTCTCTCTTTTCTTTCATTCAACGCTAGTTTCTTTTTAGTTCTGTATTATTGTAGTTTGTTTGGGAGCAATTAGGTTTCCCATTTGCCGCTTTGCTTTCATAGACCGGCGGTTCCCATGTGACGCTTTCACTGGATATAATAGGTTACCTCCTCTCATCTCCACTCACTCCACGATTCCTCTCAATATATTTCAGAAACGTTGGGGTTTGCACCCTGGCTTCACAGTGTTAAATTCCTCCATGGGAACATGTGTGGGGAGGCCAGGCCAAGACATTTTGGCCCCTGAGGCAAACTCCAAAATGGCGTTCGCCCCTCTCATTCCAGGGAAGAAGAGATGAGTGAAGATCTACATCAGGAACAAGCGTGGGGAGGAGACCAGCAGCACCTCCTGTTCACCAACAGGGGTTGGGGGCTGCCAAGGCGATGGCAGATCTGGACTCTGATAAGAATGCCTCAGCCATTACTGCCGCCGTAGCAGCGACAGCGGGCAGCATTGTATTCCTTTCCCCACACTCAGTTGTACACCTGCATACACAGCTGTTCAGAAAAAAATCTGACAGAGCTCACCACACTTGAAATCTATCCAGTAGCTCCTCCTAACTTCCTGTCTTTCTCCGTTGCTAGGTTGGAGATCCTCAGGAAGTGAACGGCATCGTCAACGTCTTTTGCCAAGCAGATCGACCACCGCTGTTGGTTGGATCAACTAAATCTAACATGGGTCACCCAGAACCTGCTTCTGGTCTTGCCGCTTTAGCAAAGGTAAAAAGAAAAGAAAAGTTGATGTCCATTTGTTTGTGTTGGGCAGGAGAGAGAGAGATGTTGAATCAAAATCTGTTGGGGGACTTCGGATTTATCTGTTGTAATTAGGGCAAATCATGTGGGGGAGGGGAAAGTAAGAAGGTCACTTGGCATGGACCTCAAGTTCAAGGGGGGGCAGGTCTCAGATGTAGTTAAGTGTTAATCTTTTGGCATTATCAAATGCCAAGTTTCACAACTTGTTTTTATGGGCATCAGACCAAAATGTGACACACACTCTGAGTTGCAGATTTAAGTAAATAAGAGATGTGATTTGCTAAAAGATCTTTTTGCTGCTGTAACTGATCTGGATTTTGTCATATTAAAACATTAAAATGTCTGTAAATATTAATAAAAATATTTTGGTTCTGATTAGACCTTAACAAACAAGTCTTCTTAGATCAGCTGGTTATGTAAACAAACTACTCACTCTTTGGGGGAAGGTTTGGCTACCTTATTTTGTTTCCGTGTGTCATTATTTTTAATATTTATGATGGCTAGGGGCTTCAAAGGCTAGAAGTGAGCGGGCCTTGTTGTAACCCAGGCATCCCCAAACTCAGTCCTCCAGATGTTTTGAGACTACAACTCCCATCATCCTTGGCCACTGGTCCTGTTAGCTAGGGATGATGGGAGTTGTAGCCCCAAAACAGGGCCGAGTTTGGGGATGCCTCTTGTAACCAAACCAATGCACAGAGGTAGAGCTGCACAACTTGCTCCCTTGGGATGAAAGGAGAGTGATAAAGTGGTGAACAGAGGGAAGAGAAGGGGGGAGGGAAGGGAAAAGACAGGAGGAAAAGATGTCTTGAAGAGTCTTTCCTTGGCTTTGTATGCTGTTTGTGGCTGTAGGGTTCAGTGCAGCTGGGACAGATATAGGAAGCAACAGCTGCAGTGGAGATTTGTGACCTCAAGAACATTTGCTTGCCTCAGCAAATAAATTGTCCATTTTCTGTCATATTTATTCATCTGCCAAAGGAAAATGTGCCTTGGTGGTGCATTCATTGCTATGCAAAATAATGATGGCACAAATAGTGCAGTCCTCTGCATATCTGCTTGTAAGTGAGTTCCATTGAGTACATGGGGCTTATTCCCAATGAAGTGTGCATAGCCAGTCTCTGAAACCCAAAGCCTTGACTCATTGCAGTGCAAAACCACAATGGCTTTGTTTCACAGAAGCTCTGTAGATTTTGTTTGCAGCAGCATTTCTTTCACAATACACTTGCCCCGTGACACCCATCATTTCAGCATCCCTGATCAACACGTTTGCTTACACCAGTGTGTACAGTTCTGAGCCAGTCAGAAAGCACACATTTTAAAAGGAAGAGGAACGGAACCTGTGAAAAGTGAGAAAGAATAGCTGGATGGTGAGAAAGCAAAATGTGTGGAATGGTCATTGCAGATAGGATCATAGCTCCAATACCTCTAGTCAATCAACTATAATTAATGTGTCACAGTGTATGATACAGCAAAATTTAGGGATTAGATGAGTGGGAGCTACAATTTGAGAAACAGGTTCTGGACAAGCATTCTGACTTGCCGCAAGGCATTTATCAAGTTACTTCACCATTCTGAGCCTTAAATTATCAGTAGAAGATAATTCTGACCTGCCAACTTCTGATGAATTGATTACTCCGATAATTAGATATGACACAAGGAAAGGTGCTAAGTGAGGATACATGTCCTGTTGATATATTAGTAGATTGAACTGCAATAATGATCTTCTAATGTAAAATTTGATTCCTGAGGATCTCAGGTTTCTATCCCAAACTATGCAAAATATGCATGTCTGAAAAATGTTCTTAGCCTGCACTGTTATGTTCTCTATTTCTCAGGTGGTTCTCTCTTTAGAGCATGGTCTGTGGGCACCCAACATTCACTACAACACCCCAAATCCAGATATTCCTGCCTTACAAGATGGTCGTATACAAGTCGTTACTAAACCAACCCCCACAAAAGGTCACCTTTGTGGTATCAATTCCTTTGGCTTTGGAGGCTCAAATGCCCATGTCATTCTGAGGCCCAACGAGAAGACATCGTCCTCCCCGGAGACTCATAATTTGCCACGATTGGTGCAGTTTTGTGGAAGGACTCAAGAAGCAGTAGAAACGTTAATAGAACAGAGCAGAAATCTGCAGCAACACACAGCACTTCTGAGCATGCTCAATGATATCTCTGGGATACCAGTGTCATCCATGCCTTATAGGGGCTACACCTTGATTGGCAGCGAGAGCGATGTGAAGGAGGTTCAGAATGCTCAGTCCTCAGGGCGGCCCCTGTGGTACATCTGCTCAGGTAAATTGCATACTAATCACGCATGCACTCTCCTTTTGTTTGAGCCTAGATTTCTAATTTTGCAAAGTTTTATGTTGTTCCAAATAGCCTTATAATTTATTTAATACAGTCATAAAGCTGAGTAGTTCACACCGATTATAGGAGGCACAGACACACACACATAGAAAGAGAGAGAGATTTAGGAAAGTGCCGCTGCTCAGTGGCAGAACGTCTGCTTCACATGCAGAGGGTTCCAGGTTCAGATCTCCAGCATCTCCCTAGTATGGCTGTGAATGTTCCCTGTCTGAAGCCTTGCTGATATAGACAATACTGAACTAGATAGACCAATGGCAGTAAAAGGCAGCTGCACACACCGGTAGTATGAAATGATGCTTCTAGCTAGCTAGAAGCAGTGCTATTTTTCTAGAAAAAGAAGTGCTAGAATTCACCATGAACACTTCCAGTGAGCCAGTGTGGTGTAGTGGTTAAGAGCGGTGGACTCATAATCTGGTGAACCGGGTTCGCGTCTCCGCTCCTCCACATGCAGCTCCTGGGTGACCTTGGGCCAGTCACACTTCTCTGAAGTCTCTCAGCCCCACTCACCTCACAGAGTGTTTGTCATGGGGGAGGAAGGGAAAGGAGATTGTGAGCCGCTTTGAGACTCCTTTGGGTAGTGATAACGCAGGATATCAAATCCAAACTCTTCTTCTTCCCTTCTTCCGTTGTTCTCTTATAATGGCAATGGTGCCCACCTGAGAGGTGCTGGAACTGAGTTCCAGCTGAAAAAAAAAAGCCCTGGCTTGAAGGGTTTCATATCTTTTACATCTGAAGCACCACTCTCAATGTCAAAATAAAATGTCACATCCTCGTGCTCTTCACATACCCAGCAGCGCTAAAAGGTACTCCTCTGCTTGTTCCATCCCATAGGCATGGGCACCCAGTGGAAAGGAATGGGGCTTAGCCTGATGCAGCTTGATCTCTTCCGGCAATCCATCTTGCGTTCAGATGAGGCTCTGAAAGACACGGGCCTGAAGGTGTCCGATCTACTCCAGAGCACGGATGAGAACACTTTTAACGACACTGTCAATGCTTTCGTTGGACTTGCTGCTATTCAGGTAAGAAGGAAGGTCTCCCCCTTTGCTTTGTGCCTCCCCATGAAAAGGGACTCTTCTGATGGCTCACTGTTTTCCTCATCAGTTCTAGTGATGTACATCATGTAGACGAAGTCATCTTTGCAACCCACCTTTCAGCCTGGGATCACTGGCAACTGCTCTAGTTTCCATGCGAAAGGCTTTGCTTTTATTCTTGCACTATGTAGAGGAAGCAAAATGGAAAGAGGAGCATTTCTATGCGCTCCCATTTCACCTTCTGAGCTGTCCTGTCCTTAGCCCTTTTAAGGTGGCCGAGTGAGGATGTGAGCCTTTACAACACCTCCATGCTGATTGCTTGTACCTGCATAGGCATACTATCTGCTGCCATTATTCTGCAGGTTGCCACCTAGAGACAAAAGTTTTGATGTTAGCTCAGGGTCTTGCTCTTTGTTGTTGCTCAAGAGCAGCAAGTTCTGCTAAGTGGGTGCCCAGATTTGAGTGTGACAGTAGGGGGATGTTTCTCTTGAGTACATTTAGTGATGGGATCTTGGTGTACACGTAATAGCACTTTCCTAAAGAGCTAGGGGAAACAACAGATGCCTTTTTGACAGCAGGCATTCAATAAGCTGGATGTAAGGAGGAAAAAATCACTAGATGTGATTTTTTTTTAAATAAAGAAATGCGACTTAAGGGTCAATGCTATCAGGCATTTCCTGTTTCCAAGGAACATTGTTTGGTAGTGAGTAGAGTATTAGATTTGGGCCTGGAATCCTTACCCAGCCATGAAGCCCACTGGGTGACGTTGGGCCACTCATTCTCCCTCGGCCTAAGCAGATTGTTGTGAGGATAAAATGGTAAGGAGGAGAAACACTGTAGAAGAAGGGTTTGGATTTGATATCCCGCTTTATCACTTCCCGAAGGAGTCTCAAAGCGGCTAACATTCTCCTTTCCCTTCCTCCCCCACAACAAACACTCTGTGAGGTGAGTGGGGCTGAAAGACTTCAGAGAAGTGTGACTAGCCCAAGGTCACCCAGCAGCTGCATGTGGAGGGGCGGAGACGCGAACCCGGTTCCCCAGATTACGAATCTACCGCTCTTAACCCACTACACCACTGTAGGCCTCTAGAGCCTTTCCTTGGAGGAAAGGTGGGGTATAAATGTAATAATTAACAAATAAAAGATTCATGTATCATGTGGCAAACTCCCCAAGGTAGGATTGCATATGCTGTTCTATATTTTGAACCTGCTCAGTTCCCGCTAAGGAGGAAGCAGAGGGCAGCATGAGGGCAAAGACTCCCCTTTTTTCCCAGGATTTCAAAGGCCATGTTTAGAGTCATTTTCTTCAGCCAGTCTCCTCTCCCCCCATTTTTGTATTTTAACGTTTATTGTCCTTTTTTTACTGTTGCTTTTAATTGTATTGGATGAGTTCTGCAAATCACATTGCTTGTTTTTATGTAAAACCACTTTGACTGACAGAAAGCGGCACTCAAGAACTCCACACAAAGACATAAATAAAAGACTGCAGCCCATTTTCTAATCCCCAGATTGCACAGATCGATCTTTTAAAGGCCATGGGTTTGCAGCCTGACGGAATTGTTGGTCACTCAGTGGGGGAGCTAGCCTGTGGCTACGCAGATAACTCCTTAAGTCACGAAGAGGCTGTTCTTGCTGCCTATTGGAGGGGCCGGTGCATCAAAGAGGCCAAGCTCCCACCAGGAGGCATGGCTGCTGTTGGTAGGTAACTAGATGTGCTCTATTATTTATTTGTCAGATGATCTATTTTAATCTTACCTTCACTTCACAAACTGTTCTCATCTAGTAGTTGCCTTAATGCAGTATGGGGCAAGGTTTAAAGAGGCTGGCTTTATTTACCCTGGGCAATATTTGATAAAATTCAGAAAAATATCAGAGTTTTTACGGATTGAGGTTTCGTTGCTGTTACATGTCGTTAATCGGCCTCCATTCTGTAGACCGGTTTCTTCTTCTACTGCCAGCCCCAAAGGTCCTTTCTTTTCAGATTGGTACCTACACCTACTTACATAGTTTCTTTAGGATTAGCAAGGTGCTGTTGGTATTGCACATTGTAAAATCAGATAAGAGCATTTTTTTTTACACAGGAAATTCAAGTGTCACAAAATTGTCTCGTAACAATTCATCTTCTTTATACTATCTAAATGGTAGAAAATAACTATAAACTATCCTAATGCATAGTACAAGGTAGTATTACGACTCTCTAGTAAAGCTACATTTCAACAAAATACCCTATGGAACATTTCCTTTATAAAGTATTTATTTTAAAATTGGTAAGAGATAAAATTGGTAAGAGACTGTTATGAGGGCGATTGAGAACAGGATTATATTAAATCTGCTATAGTTTTAGGAAGCTCCTTAGCAAGATCTCATTGAAGCCTGTACTCAAAAGGTTTTATAAAAAGGACAACTTATGTGCATCAATCAGACCATAATCTGCACAGGTAGCCAAAATGATGCCTGCCTGATGTTGCTGGACTACAGCTCCTATCAGCCTTACCCATTAGGATAGTGGTATCTCCATCACTAAGGAATTAGTGAGGTTCTACAGGGTAAGTGTTGATGCCTAAGCCACAGAGGCTCAGTTACAGATAAATATTGTTACATATACAGACAGCAGTGATTGCTAGGTTGGTCAGTTTATAAGCCCTTGAGGGGATGCAGCAGGTTTTTATACTGATATTGCACATTGGTTTCAGTTGCTTGTGTGGCTTTGGAAATATATTAACTACAAGGGGAAAGGTTTGTGACTGGACCTCCACTGCTGTGGGTACAACCCAACATATGATTGGTTTGATCTTTTGCTAGATAAGCTTGATTTCTAAGTATCTAACCTCTGAGTATTCTTGTGCTTTATGTAGCTGTAATTCTGTGCACGTTTAGTTAGGACTCAGTACTTCTGAGTGAACATGCATAGCATTGCACTGCACATCTACTTATTTATGGATTAGGATGTGAGATTTGGGCAACATTCAATCTAGCTGTCTGAAGAAACATCCTTTCATAAGAACCTATGTGTGTGTTGAGATCAGCAGCTGATTCTGTCGTGGTTGTCCCACATCTAAGTTAATCTAGTATGTGGCAACCAGGGAGAGGACTTGTTTGTGGTGGCACCCCAACTATGGCATAATCCGTCCCTTGTGAAATAGGATTGGTGCCAAGCATTTAGAAGTTTCTGGCACTTACTGAAAACCCATCAATTCAAGCAGGTCTTTATAGGGGTGGGGTTAGCTGCCTGTTGTGTTGTTGTTTTTTAAACCATACTGGTACTGGTGTTTCTGCTGTAGTTTTACTATAGTTTTATCTGTATGTTTTATAATTGTAGTTTATTGGTATTAATTTATACTATTGTACCCTGCCATGGTGCACATTGCAATGAAAGCCAGGCTGTAAATATTTTAAATAATATAAAAATATCATTCCTGGTCTCACAATTCCTCTAATGTGATGAGGGATTCAGTTTCACACTTACAGATGAACTTACCTCAGTCACAATTTCTAAAACCATTTCTGAACCAAAACGTACCCTTCCTTTGAAACTCACACTTCTCTTAAATGTATGTGTTTTTAAAAATATTTATACTAGGGTTAAGTGAGCATATAGATGCATATAACATATTGGGGGGAATTGCTTTGCGAAGGAATAAAAAAATTTAAAGAAAAAAATAACACTAAAATGCTGATGAATTTTCATAAGGAGTTTAAAAAAAATCAAACTGAAGTGGAAAATCAAATTTATGATTGGAAAAACGAGAAACTAAGAGAGACTAAGGAGGGACGCGGGTGGCGCTGTGGGCTAAACCACAGAGCCTAGGACTTGCCGATCAGAAGGTTGGCGGTTCAAATCCCTGTGACGGGGTGAGCTCCTGTTGCTCGGTCCCTGCCTGCCAACCTAGCGGTTCAAAAGCACGTCAAAGTGCAAGTAGATAAATGACCTGGACAAACACCGGCTCCCTCGGCCAATAAAGCGAGATGAGCGCCGCAACCCCAAAGTCGGTCACGACTGGACCTAATAGTCAGGGGTCCCTTTACCTTTTAATTAGGAGATTGAACAAGCAGGTAATCATATGCTCAAAGGATTAACAGCAATAGGACTACTCATAAGTAACTCTAAATGGGTGGCTAACTCTCAAAGGCATACAGATATTGCTCAGATATTCAGTTCAATAAAATTCATTCAAGTCTATGAAAACATCCTATAATTCTTCAAAATAATGTAATTAGTTCCAAACCCACCCATTTTTCATCTGCAGGATCTAATCCAGGGGTGGGGAACAGGATCTGGTTAATGGGCCAGATCCTGAATTGTCCTACAGGCCACTTTCAACAGGTGAACAGGGCTTCCCACCTGTCATTCAAGTAACCCAACTTCAAAGAAAACTATTCTTTCTTTCTTTTTTTCATTTGCAAGCATATCTTCAAACTACCTGCAATGGCATTTTCCCTTTGCTTCCCAACTTGAACTCAGCATAAGATTCTTATTGAAAATGGGATTTGCCAACTGCAAGTTTTGTTTTCACCTGTGACCAGCTGCAGATGAGGAGCTCCTGACTGAGAACTCCCAAGTACAATGGAACCCAGCTGGGCTTGCCATCAATGTTGATCACTTTTGACAGTGGTTAGCTGCACTTTGGAGCTCCCAATTGGGAGCTTGCATTTGACACCAGATTTAAAGGGTGTTGAATGGAAAATGTGCTCCTGCCAAGGAACAATCAGGAGCTGTCTCCTTACCTGCCCCCACAAATGACATCATATGACATGACGTGTGGTGCAGGATGGTGTGGCTTGAAGAAATGGCTTCATGGGACAAATTAGGAACTCTGCTGGTTCTAATTTGGCCTTGAGCTGGAGGCTCCCCATTCCTGATTTAATCAGCTAAGGAGATTTGACTAACTGAGGTGATTACTGTACTGTGCAAGAAACTAGTTTGTCATATTGATAGAACATTCTCTTGTGCACAGATTAACCAAGCCAAACTAGAAGCACATGACCAAAATAATTAAAAGCAGATTAGTTACCTTTTATCATCCTCACAATGGACTGCAAGAAGATCAAACCTATCCATTCTTAAGGAAATCAGCCCTGAGTGCTCACTGGAAGGACAGATCATGAAGCTGAGGCTCCAATACTTTGGCCACCTCATGAGAAGAGAAGACTCCCTGGAAAAGACCCTGATGTTGGGAAAGATTGAGGGCACAAGGAGAAGGGGACGACAGAGGACGAGATGGTTGGACAGTGTTCTCGAAGCTACCAGCATGAGTTTGACCAAACTGCGGGAGGCAGTGGAAGACAGGAGTGCCTGGCATGCTCTGGTCCATGGGGTCACGAAGAGTCGGACACGACTAAACGACTAAACAACAACAACAAAATGTAATGAGAGTTTATTTTCCACTTTGCATTGCACTCTTATGGGCAAAGGAGGGATTCTAATTCTTTTTTAGCAAATGTGAATATGAAACCACAAAGGCCGTGTACACTAGTTTCTACCAAAGAATCCCAAGAACTGCAGTTTGTAAGGGTGCTGGGAATTGTAGCTCTGTGAGCTACACTTCCCAGGATTCTTTGGGAGCAGTCAGATGATTTAAATGTATGGTGTGTTTGCCACCAAACTGTGATCTTGTGTGTGCCGTACAGAAAGCCTATCACAAACTGTATCACTGTGTCAAACTGTATGTAAAAGTTTTTTCTTCATCTTGAGATCTACCTAATATTGTTAGACTTATTTAAATAGAGAGTATATCAGCACTGTTTAATTTTGTTTCATAAGCAACTTTATGGACAAATTCTGTTCTAATCTTTCATGATGATAGTACATCAATGATTGCAATAATTTGTGGAACAAATGTTAAACCATTAATAAAGTTGTGCATACCATCTCAATTATGTGAACATAAATTAGCTGGATATGCAAAAGGCGCAAAGCAAAAACCTTAACAGGTGTTTCAGACATTGGTTTTTATATTTTAGCCTTCCATTTGAGAAAAGATAAAAACCAGAGAACAGATTACACCTTGAATATGTAGTAGTTAAGAGCTCTGAAGTGTAAATAGATACAAAGTTGTTCTAGTAGTGCTCTGTGTGGTGTGTGTGTGTGTGTGTGTGTGTGTGTATTTTAAATTCTTACCTGGAAGACCACTGGGTGTCAGCCACGTCCATTGCTACTGAGTGGTTTGCTCAAGCAAAATGGCTTGTCAGTGAAATAAAGGACATAATTTTGATGAGTCAGAAACTCTGTCAGCAAGGTTGCTTCCTGAGTTGTTCTTCAGAATTGAAAATGCTTACAAACATTAAGCGATTCAATGAGAGTAATGTTTTAGGTGTGTTCTAATTACTACAATGTTTTATACCACTTTTTAAAATGAAAACTACAAGGATAGCAATCCTTCGAACTCTAACAAGCCTTGGTATTCTGGAAGCTTATGTGGACAAATGATCCTACAAAGTGGGGTTTTTTTGGGGGGGGGGTTGTAGAAAAGGAAGTTAATTATTTGTCACAGTATTCATTAAAACTAGAAAACAGTTTTCTAGAAAATGTATTTTTGAATGTGTAGTGAATTGCTCTTCTAAGATTATAACATTTATTAATCACAGCAATAATTACAATCCTAAAGTCAAATAATTTTTATTCTGTAACTCTTTAGCTGGAGTTTGGAAAGCTGCTTCTCTCCCATAAGCAGTTTGTTCCAGAACCCCTATGGAATTTTTTTTTAAAGAAAAATTGTTCCAC